AGGGATCCGAGGAAAAGTAAAGCTGCAGTCGGCGGCGGGGGACGGAGCCGCTATCACAGCAGCACGCCGAGCAGTAAAGAGAGAGAGCCGCTCGGCTTGGATCTGACAGCCAGCGGCTCTCTCTCTCCTCACTGCACATGCCGCTGTGGCTAACCCCCCCCCTCTGCGGCTGAAGTGCTATTTTCTCTTCTCCTCGGATCTCCCGCTGCATCTGCCCGGGAGAGCAGGGGAGATCCAGAGGAGAAGTTGCAGCCCCCCTCTGTGCATGGCCGAGCATCAGAAGATTGGTGCATATCAATGATATGTACCAATCCTCTGTGCAGGACAAACACTGGAGCGATCAGCTGATCACTCCAGTGTTTGTAAATAACTGGGGACACATAGTACTATGTGTCCCCAGTTATGAATGAACACGATGTGATTTACATCACTTCCTGTTCATTCATGAATTTCACTCTGTACAGAGGTTCCTCCTCATTCAGAAACTGGTGATAGTAAATATTTTCTGAATGAATGGGAAGCCTCTAGACGGAAAAGGGGCGGGACACCTCTCCCCATGTGCAACGTCGGCCACACGAGCACAGCGGGAGGAAAGGATGCCAGCGCCTCGAGAACGCACTGGAATGCGTTCAGGGGCGGGAGGGGGCATGGGGTTGCACCCCGCAGTTTGATCGCCCGCACCTGGAACGCAGGCACGTTAGTGCCTGCATTCCGGTCCAGTGCGATCTGCAAAAATAGTGCCTGCAGCATTTTTGCAGATCGCACTGGACCGGAACGCAGGCACTAATGTGGCTGCAGTGCCATTGCCTTTTTTTCGTTGATAGATCTCATTGAGCTCGTCATTTGAAAAGTAGATCTCCAGATGAAAAATTGTGGGCGCCCCTGGTCTAGGGTATGTACAGTGCAGACACTTTATTTAATATGAAGGTGCTTCTCATGGGCATTAGCATTATGTCCCACAGGTCTTAAAGGACTACTGCATAGCGGTAAAGTGTGGGGGTCACTGACCTAGGACACCAAGAAGGAAATCTGTATACATCTGTATATATACAGCATATATATTACAAATCTACAACTATATATAACTTTGTTTTTACAATTCTGTTCATCTTACTAAATACAAAATATAAATATGCAGCTTTTTATTCACATCATCTTTATTTACACTATTGCATTTGAACATTTCAATGGTATCATTTAGCCAGTTTTATGTGTCACAGCAGCTATAGTAGTATATACAATAAAAACCATTTTTATTGAGATCAGTGGGTTTCAGAGTTCTATAAGTTAGAGATACCTCTTAAACTCACAGATGTGGTGGACAAGCTTCACTTGTATCTTACATTGTATAAATCATCACCTAAAGTAGGATGTTCTGCTCTGTTGTGGTCTTTCCTAACTCCTCTCACTGACTTGACAGCTAGTTGCTGGTTTTCTCTGGGTTTTCTCAGGCTTTATTTGCTCTGCTCTAAACTACTACACACTTGTGTTCTGCTTCTTTATTTTCTCCTCCACTTCTTTGCTTTGATTTAATTTTTAACAAAGTCACTGTTCTGCTTTAGCTGCATCAGCACATTTCAAACTCCATTTTCGCCCTTCCTTTTGTCATACATCTTGATCAGGGAAGGCAGGTCATCTAGTACATCAGAGGAAAAAGTGGTCAGCTTCAAATCTGAGACTGACCACTTTTCCTCCATTCAGATCGGCTGTGTATCCTGTTATGGATGGAGCGCTGCCTGTTAATAACAGGCGGCGCTGCATCCAGCTTTTGACATCTAAGTTAGGTTACACAACAGCGGGGTTCCCCACTGCTTTGTGTAACCTAACATAGTGAGGCAAGAGCTGCAACAGCCTCTACTTGCCGTTAGAGGCTTGAGCTCTGTGGATGGCTTGGATCAATGGCAAAGCGTCATTGGTCCAAGCTGTCCAATAAAAACAAATCGATCTCGATGCCTCACCTGTGACGAACAAGTGAGGGACAGGGAGGCTCCTCCCTTCTCCGTCCTCCCTCCTTCACACAGCTTAGTGACAGGGTCGGGGGTGGGGCATGGTTAGGGGAAATGCCTCACCGAGAACGGACTCCACTGCATGCCACTGATCTTGATGAAGGTGCCCGGAAAATGAAATGGTCTTCCCAAGGTTGGCCAAGAGCTCCAGTCTTGATTAGAACAGCATTCTGGCTATTTAAATTGAGTGCCACAGGTTTGGGGGAAAGCTTCAGCAGCAAATCCTCCACAAGACAAATGCCTCTATTGATTGCATATCCTACAGCAGCATGTAGGAGGATGGTTATGGGCAACTAGAAGCATTCTCAAGGACCACCAGCTGTCTGCAGGCCACAGTAAATGAAACAGTGATTTAGATATATTATCTAGTGAAATAACTCTAAGTTTTTTTGTTTTTTTTAAAAGGAGATGAAGGCATGCAGTAGTAAATATTGCAAGATGTTTAACCCTGCCCCTTTCTTGTTTCTTAAGGCAATATTAAGTTTGGAACTTGCAGAAAAATAAAACAGAAAATGTAGTTTTAAAATCTTTAGACACATAGCATAAAAAGCCTTAGAATGTGTACTTCCCCTGTTGTTTTCCATGTTACCACAAGCTGCCTTTCTGGATAACAGAAGTTAAGCCTTAAAAATGCATTCAAGTTCCTCAACTATTAACAAAAATGTATCTTATTTGTGTATCACTCGGCTGTAGATCCTCAAATCATCTCTGAATTGGTGTTGACACTGTCCTTCCTTCTGGAGGGTAGCTACTTTTGTTCCCCATGGTCCCTGTGTGTGTTATAAAGTAGCCACCGCTCCAAACTCACTCCCGTGATGGACTACAATCTCACCTTTAGTTTACCAATTTGTATTGCGATTGTAGTCCATCACAGGAGTGAGCTTGGAGCGGTGGCTACTTTACAACACACACAGGAACCATGGGGAACAAAAGTAGCCAGCCTCCAGAAGTAAGGACAATGTCAGCACCAATTCTGAGATGATTTGAGGATCTAGTTCAGTGTCGCAACAATTGCATTAGTGTTAAAGCAGACAATTGATCTTTCCAGTACCAGTGGAGATAAACAAGGTTCAGTGCTCCATAGGCTGTTTACAGTTATCTTAGTCAATGGTGGGATATCATTTTCATTTTCCAACATGGCCGAAAATAGCTGTTGCTGATCTTTTTTGCTAAATTTCCCGTGCCACCAGACAAAGTGATTTCTTTATATAATTCTAGGAACTATCTGTATATACAGTGGGGCAAAAAAGTATTTAGTCAGCCACCAATTGTGCAAGTTCTCCCACTTAAAACGATGATAGAGACCTGTAATTGGCATCATAGGTAGACCTCAACTATGAGAGACAAAATGAGAAAACAAATCCAGACAAATCAATGGATAATTCACTTACAGCTGGTGTAGAGATCACATCCTACTTGACTTAAACTAAAACAGTACAATCTGCTTATGCATTTCAATGTGCGTGGTTTAACAAATGTGCACAGGTTGGCCATTGTTTTTAATTTTGCTAGTTCCCATCTGTGCAGTATGTTGAAATACATTGGCTGAAAGAAGTTCACAGCAATCACAAATCAAGAAGCATAGCATGTCTATACATGACAACACACTTTCTTAAAGTAATAAAACACATGAACTGTGTCAACAGGTTTGGGCTTGTGTCGATGGCATCAGTTTGACATCAGTTTAAGATGCTTCTGAGACCATTTAAAATTAATGGACATGTAAATCTCACCTACGATTTGACCTGCTTCAAAACACATTTTGATATGAACCAAAAGTTAGTCCACATAGGCCCAGAGTTCTGCTCTGATTTAAAAAAATGGCAATGAAACTACTGTAGGTAGCAACTCTTTCTTTTAACCTGCTTAACAATGGGATGATGATAGCAACGGATTGAGCCATTTTAGATGTAAATTGATGATTGATTAGGTAAGTACAACTCTGTCACTAATCTGTATCCAATCAGCAACATCTGCACATTGAACGACTGTAAATGTAGGTGCAGATATGTGAAAACTGCCTTTGTTAATCTAAGTGGTTATTATACAACTATTTTTATCTCCAATTGTTTGAACATTTAGTTCAAACACTCATCAGTTTTTTTTTTTTTATGTTATGGGTCAACTTCCAAATTTTTTGGTGCGTGGCTTAAAATAGAAATAATGAAAGGTGTAAAAGTTAACATTTGGTAATACTGGTTTTTCAGTGTTATATACAAGGGAATGATTTTGGCACACTTATGCAGTAGTTTTCACAGTTTATGGTGCACCCGGGACTGTAGCAGACCATAACAAAAATGAGTGTGTATCACAGGCAATCTAGAGAGTATGAAAATGTCCATATGTATTGAACATATACCTGTCAAGCAAACAAAATAATGTCTGGGGTGGGGGGGTCTCTTCTTCAGTATCCTTACTGGCAGGACAACTAAGATCAGACAAGGGTAGGGAGTAGTACTAATGGTCAGGGCTTAACACCAGTAGCACCAGTGTTCAATGCTGCTTGAGCCACCACAATAAGAAGGGACAACTGAATAGACAAGTTATACATTTCACATGATTGATTCCCTTACTGGATGGCCAGATTTATGACCAAACCTGAAACATGAAACTGCTCTGTACCTGAATTGTATGTTCAGAGCTATAGGGCCAAACACATCTGCATTTAATGTGAACAGGCAGGTTATTATCATCAGATCACATCTACAATTTCTTACATTCAATATATAGTCATTGCTAACCTCCCAACAATGAGTGCTGGGAGTTGTTTTCTTTCAATGGTTGGAGAGATGTTCATAATTGAGGACTGCAACAGCCTATTCTACTTCAGTAATCTGCCTATGGAAGCCAATAGGCAAAGGTTAATATAACCTTTTAGTAAATCTTCTAGAGAAGATATAAAAGAAACTCTACATATTACCCCATTTCATTTAGATACACCAATATTTCATGGGGAAAGCTTTGTTTTTACCCCGCATGTGTTAATCTTAATAGTTTACTTGGCTAAGTTTTTGTTTGCGGAATAACATAACATCTCTGGTTGGTTTATGTTATGATCATGTGCAATGACCTACACCAGTAGAAATGTTCACATCTTCCTGTAGGACATTGTCTGGCATTCCCTCATAAAGAGTCTGAAGAGATGATCTTGACATTGTTTTGTGAATTTTGTGAGTCTTTCGTGCTTGCTGGAGGTTTATATATAAAATACGCAATAAAAAGGAATATAATTGTGATGATTTTGCTTGCTGCACCTGCATGGAAGGAAACACATTATTTGATTATTATGGAGATATTGAAATTGTATTCTCAATACTAGTATTAGGATTATATTGATATAAACAAGAGTAGTGTGTGTTTGCCTACATAGGACTTCTGTTGGTATCTAAGGCCTTGTTTATATGGGTGTTGATATTAAAATATGTTAAACGCTGATTAATGCTCCTGTAAGCGGTTGAAAAGTGGCAATTCTGGCCAATTGCAACATTTAGGAGATATTATGATGCACCACAGCACAAACCCACTCAAATGTCAACAGATTTTTACATGTGTACTGCACTGTCAGCTGTCCATTTAACAATTATTCCTGAGCATTGCTAGGCGGTGTAAGAAAGTCACTGGTCGGTGATCAGTATTGGCAATAAATGCAGCTTCATAGCATTTAACATAAAAAGTTTCTTTTTATCAACAGGGTACGTTTTCCCTTTTTAAACAAACGAATTCCAGCAGAAACTCAAGAGTAACATAAATAAAAAGGCCTACTCCACCTTAGGAGTAAGGTAGTAGTAACAGTAGTGTCCTCACTACGTCCTACTGGAGCGGCTATTCCAGCTTCCAGTATAAATGAACATAAACAAAACTCACAGTCCAATACATACAGCTTTGAGTGCCTGTTCACACGACGTCCGTTTTGTGTGCTGACCTGATCCGTACGCTCCTGCACTCAAAATGCATCCCAATGTATCCCTATGTGTTTTATGGGCTACAGTTCTCACGTGCGCAGTCCGTTCAGGTTACGACAGAAAAATACTGCATGTCACATTTTGTACGGTCAGGAAACGCGTCAAAAACGCGTCAACGGCCCCATTCACACAGAGCGATTTATCACGCGGTAATCCGCGCGATATCGCGCGTATTTACCACGCGATATCGCTCTCCAATGCATCTCAATGGGGCTCTGTCCGTCGCTGTCGCGGATCGTGCGTCGCTACAGCAGGACCCTTTTTGGAGTGGATTTTGCCGCGATTCTAGGTTGCTCAATGCAACCATTTGCGCGATATCGCGCAAAATACAAGTTGCGCGATTTGCGAATCGCTCAGTGTGAATGGGGCCAAAAACGCACTGCAGCTAACATACTAACAGCCCCACTCCAGCAAAAAAAATAAAATATATATTTTTTTCTTTTACAGGAACGCAGCAAAAACAGAGCAAAACGTGGCAAAAACGCACTGCATCAGTCTGCAGATCCGCACCTGATATTATGTGAACAGGCCCTTAGCCAGACCTTATCCCACAGACATTCAGTCGCTCTACAGTCTGCATGCATCCGTTCAGTCCAGCATGGATCTCTCTCCCCTCCAGTCCACTATCAGGTGCAGGCTAATTAATAGAGAGGAGGTGTACCTGTTGGGGCAAGGCTTAACTCCTTCCTAGCCAGGGAAAGCTGCCCTTTTCAACCTCTCACTGACATACGCAGAGTCGTGTACCCAGTCACAGCGGTCATAGAGCATAAAGTGGATCTCTACCCCCTTTGAATAAAAATCACATCAGCATACAGCTCGGCATGCTGATATGAAATCCTCTTATTTATTAGTCAAACATATATTTATTTTACTGATAATTTTTGTTTCCACTTTGGCACAGATTATGTCATTGTGCTCAAGCATTGCTTCCTGGGAAGGTTACATCAGCAGAGCGTTGCTGGGAAACATTGTCAATAATTATATAAATCGACAATGTAATCCAAAGAGGATTTTGTTTAATACAGTAAAAGGTGTTCCGGAATGCATCACAATTCTCTGGCCTGAGACCAGTGTCATCAAAGGGGCAGAGCAGCTTTAATTGACTGCTAAAGGATAAGGAAAAGAGGCCAATGTAAAGGGACACAGTAAGGAGAAAAAGGGAGATAATACAGGGGAAATAGTGGGTCTTACCAAGTTTTCCTAATGCTATGCTAAAACAATGTTTCGTTCTAGGTGCCCAGGAGTTATTCAAGGTTTTGTTTTTTTAGCAAGCAAGGTAAATTTTGTGCCTTGTTGCACATATACACTGTAAGCATAATGGCAAGTATGGCCTTGATCATAGTCTACTGGTGCCACAACATAAGGCTCATGCAATGCAATAGTTATATGTGCTAATATTGTAACATTTGCATTGTAAATGAAAGCCCATCTCTGGGCAAACAAAAAAAGTACCCTTGCAGTGGGGATACCCCTGCATTGCAAGGTTTAAGTGCCCATTTTTGACTAGGTGCTGGAGTAAACACATTTATTTACCCGCTTTCCACTGCCACTGGCTCCCTCAGGGCTTCTAGACTGTTCCCTGCAGCTTCTTCTGGGATCTGGCAATCTAAGGACCACTGCAGGTTCCATGGATAATGGTAGAGGAGAGGACATCACTGACCGCCGGAGAGTAGGGTTCAGGTAAGTAACTTTACTTTACTCCATTCCCTGGACAAAAATGAGCACTTAAAGGAGAACTATGAGGTGAGTGATTTCCACTCATCCTCATAGTTCGAGCCGACTTGTGAGAATGAAACTGTTATACGTTGACTCAATAGATCGGGAAGTGAGCAAACACATACCTTTGCTCACTCAATTCTCGATCATGTCCCTGCAGAGAGATGTAACTGTCACTCATGGCTCCCTGCAGGGATTCCCTCCCTCCCCGCTCCGATCCTCCAGCGCTGACTGGTGGAACGGATGGGGGAGGGGGCGGGTACAGCTGGCTCTGCCTCTAGGTAGGCAGAGCCAGCTGTCAATCACGCAGCTGGGTGGATCTTGACAGTAATGTCGGGATCCGTCCCGGCTGCGTCGGTCTCAGTATACCGTGAGCTATAGCTCGCGGTATACTGAGCTTTGGGTCACGGGAGGACGCTAGTTTGTGTCCTCCCGTGACCCTTAGAAGAACTATGGGGAAAAACACTCACCCCATTGTTCTCCTTTAACCCTTGCAGTGCGGGGGTATCCCTACTGCAAAAATACTTGATTTTGCATGCCCAGAGATGGGCTTTAAATGTTGCTAATGTAAAACAAATGACTTACTGATGCCAACAAGTTTGTAGGATATACTTGTATTATTGTAGATCCAGCAGGCTCCTTTTACTTCACAATCATTCAAGTTCCACAGAATGCAGCTGCTGTCTATAGTAACTCCAAATAATATTGGTCCAGGTATAGAACCTAGAAACAGAAACAAAACAATATTCATTCTGAATTTAAAAAAAATACATCCCATGCACAATTATTATACATAATCCAAACACATGCAAATCTATAAACTGCATCAATAAAATGTTTGTTACTTAAAAAGCAAAACTCCCATCGGAAAAGTTTAGCAATAATGTTAACCTTTTCAATGGAGTTTTAGTCAAAAGTTAATTTGACACTAAGCAGCACGGCTAGTCAAAGATGATGAAGTGATAATTCTATCCAGGAAACACTGTGGGATCTATTTCTACACCTTTTCACACAACTTTCACCCAGGATTCATGATTTTTTTCAAATTGGATTCAATTACAAACATGTGTTATTTTTGGGTGAAATGTGTGTGAGTTTTGGGGGAGAAGATTGGTAAATAGACCCTTGTATGCGTATGGCGGATTTAATGCAGTCAGATTTTGAAAGTTTCTTACAAGACAAGAAAAGTTTCTTCTAAGCAGGACTGTAGCTTTTTGTCACATAATTCGGTGCTGTGAGCGGTCTGTTTTTGTTCCCTTAAACACAACAAGCTGTATTTTGATGGTTTAGATTCAGGCCAATAACACCACTTAAAGAAGAACTCCAGGAAATATTTTTGTTAACCCTTGAGGGTTGGACTACCCCCTCACTGCAAGGGTTAACTGCTCGTTTTTGTTAGGTTGAAAAAAAACTTATACTTACCTGCATTGTGGAGCTGGCTTGTTTTTAGAACAGTCCTTCCAGCTTTTGTCCCCCTCCTCTGCAGGGGGTCTAAGGTCCCATTAATCATCATGTATACATTGTGTATAGACGTGAAGACCCTGATGAACATTCCAATGCTGCAGTATAGGAGAAGAGAGACTGGAGGGAGAGCTGTGATAGCTAACCGGCTTGGAGCTTCGGGTAAATATAACTTTGTTAATTTTGAGACAAAAATTAGCACTTAGTCCTTGCAGTGCTGGGGTAGCCCCATTACAAGGGTTATTAAAATCGTTCTGGAGTTCTTCTTTAAGAACTTGTTTTTTTTAATGCAGCTCAGCTGGAGGAGACTAGAGGGTTTAATGGAAGCTGTCAAGGCTTCTCTATTAAGATGAGTGTCCTATTTCTTGTCTCACATCTCACATCTGCCTGCACTAGCCGGATAGTCAGGTGAAGATGATGTATGCCCCAATGAAAATGAAACCTATCCAGTGAGTAGATTTTTTTCTACCTTTTCAGTTTTTAAATCCCAAATTTTCATGAGACTGAGTTTCTTTGCAAAGTTGTTATTGATTGCATCTCTTGCTACTATGCATCCTAAAAAACTGAAGGATATTGAGAGCTGTAGATGGCAATGTCTATATGACTGAGCTCTCTAATAAGGCAAAGCGCATCAGTGTTGAGGAGCCTGGCAGGGTGTGCATGCCACTGTGATTACTAAAGTTTATTGAACACAAATTATTCTCATTATGAGGTTTGGGAATAATTTGCATTATATTAAAATAAAAACAATTTGTAGCTTTATATATAATGATAAATAAGGTGACATTTACCCAGTAATCGAATTAATGCCCACTGTACCCCAAGAGCGAATGATCTTTGCTTGTCTGGCACACACCTGAAAGAAGAATGATGACATAAACAATTTATAATAAGTACATTTAATGCATGTCCAACATATCTCACTCCATAAGTCACAAAATATTGTGAACCTCTTACAGCCATTCTACATAAAAAAACTCTTAGAGTTAGATACTGAGTAGTGTGTTTCAAATGAAAAGTACTTTAGGTGATGATAGTGCTGAACTGCAGAAACTTTGTGGTACCTGCAAGCAAATGTGTCTTTAATTTAATCCCTGGTTCCTGTGCAGCCCCTTGGATTAAAGTCCCAGGCTACCCAGAAGTAACTGACATTTAGCATTGGAATGGTTGGTGCAGGATGGGCGGGGCTTGATCTGGACTTGGAAAGAAGTCAAGGCTCCTTGTACAGTGTGGGCTTAGCAAACCAAGGAACTGGTCAAAGACACTTTCTGTCACAGCTATTACTTACCAACTTTCTGAAATGGCAAACACCCTTTACGTCTATCGGTATTGTTGAATATATAGAAAACAATGTGATGGACCACCCCAATAGAATTGAACACCACAAAAGAAAACATTTGCAGGGCTTTCAGGGTATCACTAACAGACCATGTATTGCATATAAAAGACCAACATTTATTAAATATCAATACAAAAATAGCACTTTATTAAATCGATACATAATAGTTAAGCATCATTGTGCTTCATATTCATGAATAATACCCTGATTGTTATGTTTCACAGTTAAAGGAGAACTATGAGGTGAGTGCTTTTCACTCACCTCATAGTTCTAGCCAACCTGTGACAATGAGACTGTCACAGGTCGGCTCAGTAGATCGGGAGGTGAGCGAACACATACCGGCGTTCGCTCACCTCTCGATCCTGTCACAGCTCTCTGCCGTGACAGGGGAGGGGCTGGATTACCTCCTCCCCGCTCCGATCTGCCAGCGCTGACTGGCGGAACGGACGGGGAGGGGGCGGGTACAGCTGGCTCTGCCTTTAGATAGCTGAGCGGATCCCGGCACAATTGTCGGGATACGCTTCAGCTGCGGCGTCTCAGTATACCGCGATCAGCTGCTCGCGGTATACTCCGGCATCTCAGTATACCGCGAGCTACAGCTCGCAGTATACTGAGCCTAGGGTGACGGGAGGACGCTAGTTTGTGTCCTCCCGTTACCCTAAGGAGAACTATGGGGAAAAGACTTAACCCCATAGTTCTCCTTTAATATTGCATACAAAATTGTTTAATTCTGCTCAGACAATTGCGTAATTCAAAAACCCCTGCCAGCTCAGTGACATCACTTTTCTTTGGAACAGTTAAGCAATACAGTTTGGTCAACAGCCTGCCCCAAAAGTGTAACTGAACATTGAAGGAGCAATAGCATACTATTGAGATAATCTCTCTGCTAACCTAGCTCTCTCTTTCTGTCAGCAAGTTCATTATCAGCACATGTGCACTGCTGAATAGCAAATATATATATACACTGAGTGGCCAGATTATTATGACCACCCCATCAGTACTTCGTTGGGCCACGAGATGACTCCACGGGATGACTTTGTTGGGCCGCCTCGTGACTCCACGAGATGTTGAAAGGTGATGCGAGGAATCTGACACTGCACTGTTGCCCTTCTGTTGTCTTGTTCTAGTCTTGCCACTCTCCGTTCTGCCCTAACATAGACTAGTCGCTGACGGCCACAATTCGCACGTTCAGACCCAGATTTTCGGCTTACAGTCCAGTCTTTAAACACTTTAACAACAGCTGCTCTTGAACATTTAACGAATTCTGCTGTTTTGCTGATACTCACTCCATGGCTTAAGCGCCAACAATCATCCTACGTTCAAAGGCTGTTAAATTGCGTTGTTTACCCATATCTTCAGAAAAAAATCACTTCTACTGTAGTGGTAAACAACCTGCGTCCCTATTTATAATGGTCTGGCTCTCTAGCAAATTCAGCGCAATAGCTAATTGCCTACAAACGTCAGGAGGTCATAATAATCTGATATATTATATTTACATAACTGCATTACTCAGTGTTTTTATTTGTGTCTGATTTTCACATCCAAATGTTCAATCCCTGAAAGCACGTCTCATTTTGACAAGCTTTTAAAAGTGCTGTACAATGCACAAGAATGCATTTCCAATGCTTACCTTAGAATGGCCATGGTTGTCGGTGTTGCAGTCATGAACGTAGTAACAACCACAAAGAAAAAGAACACCATAAATAATATCAGGTTTGTGCAAGTAGATTCACATTTTCCAGATATTGCCTCATTTAAATGTAATGCTTGCTTAAATTTTTTCTGTGATGGATCTCCTATACACGAACAATTGGTAAAGGTCTGCAAGAAAAAAAAAATATCAAATAGAAAGGCTAGTGGGAAACCTGTACCCCATTAAAAACAGAATATTTTATACCATACATAGACTATGGGGATACGGTTAAGATATTAATAAAGGCATAGAGGTCAGCACTTCTGCCTTGCAGCACTGGGGGTCACTTGCTCAAATCCCGCTCAGGACACTATCTCCAAGGTGTTTGCATGTTCTCCCTGTGCTTGTGTGGGTTTCCTCCCATGAGCCGAAGACATGCTGGAAGGTAAATTGGCCCTTGTATGTATACATGTGAGATTGGGATCTTAAATTGTAAGCTACTTGAGGGCTGGGACTGATGTGAATGTTCACTATGTAAAGCACTGCATACATTTATGCAATATTTAATAAATACATTTGTAACACTGGCATTTAAGTGTTTTTCAATGGGCAAATATGTTGTTGTATGTCTTCTTTAAGTTTGGTTATTAGGCACACATATTGTAAAGCGTAAAGTTAATAAAGTTCTTATTTAATTCTGATCTCTCTTGAGTCTTTTTAAAATTTAGAGGTTGTAGTGTCTGTCACTATCCCCATTCCCGCTATTACAAAGACAAATGAGAGGATGTCACCCTTGCATTTTCGGTAATATTATTCAAATTAGAATCCAACGGGCAATGAAAACCCGTTGAACTGTTTAAACAACTCACCTGCAGGAGTTAATTTCTAGCAATGTCATTAAATGTGACCAGATATACAGTACACTGATTTTGCATTCTGGGCCATATTTAAAAAAAAAGGCTCAGGCTCAGACTGACCTAATGAAACACAGTGGGAGTGTTATTCAAGCTTTCGGTGTTTTACTAGGTGTAAGCCATCTATCAGCATGATATAGTAAAAAGGGCAAGCCCATATATAATTTGCAGCAGCGTCAGGTAGTAAGGTGCAAATTACTTTAGTTGCTTCCCATCAGAAACTAAATAAATATTTGTTTGAAAACACTTACGCTGAGGTAATTTGTAGCTTGATTTAATTTATGTATTAAAGAATATAGTATGTGTATTTTGAAAACTTTTGCTTTTCTTCTGCTGTTCTTTGAGAGCTGTACAGGACAGATCCTGCAAGATCAAATTATCTTCGGTATCCTGATAAGGTTATCTGCAGTTATAAAGAAGGCACCCCTGGCACTGTTTTATATATGCATGCTGCATAGGCTTGTTTGTGCATTGCTAGCTGAGTTAAGCAGAGACCATAAACCTCTAAAGTAATGCAGAGATTATCTTTTCTATCTTTTCCCAACCCCACCCGAAGATATTGCTGACTCCTGCTTGGAACAAAAGACCCTTTATAACAAACATGCGCTGCATAACAATCATTAATTTAGTGCTCTTGGCATAGGAAGAACACCTTTTGTTTGTTTGTTTGTTTGTTTGTTTGAATCACAAAGGTACACTTGTTCTTGTTTTCAAGAAATAAAAGTGATTACCTTCATACCACCACTAGATACATTTGTGGATAAACATCCAGCATAACAAGACGAAAAATATTGGACTCCATCTACACCACAAACTGGGTCATAATAGGAACGGGCACAAGAGCAGTTTTCATTACACAGGGACGACAGTTCATCACGTTTATCTGTTCTATTAATACAAAAAGTGAAATGAAGCAGAAGAATTATAGACAAACATCAGTCATTTTTACATGTTGTTATTTAAATGAACAAAAAACAACTTGCATTCACGTAAATCTCCCTCACATCTGTGCACTATGGTGTGCTATCGTTCAGGTGCATTTGTTTATACTGTAGAATAGTGATGGGCTGTACACCCCCTGTGTTAGGTTGGAATTTGAACTTTAGAATGTGGAAAAAGTTTGAATTCAAACTCAATGCAAGTCTATGGGGTTAGAAATGTGAAAATCAATTGACCCCATTTTGAAGTCTTATATGCAATTTATTGGCCATAAAAATGGTATGGGGGTCCGGGTACTGCCCTGGGGGACAAGAATCAATGAAAAAAAAAGTTTCAAAAATACAGTTTTTAAAGGAGAAGTGATTTTAACATCACTTAAAGGGTAACGATAAAAATTACAAATTCCTGTAAATATCGTACCTGGGGGGTCCCCTTAAACTGACTGTAAATTGGCACATCTGTACAATGTCTTGAACCTGCTGCAGCAAAACTGACATTTCTAAAGAAAAAAAATTACATTTTGCGGTTCCCCCTCCTAAACAATACCAGGCTCTTTAGGTCTGGTAGGAATGTTAAGAGGAACCCCATTTAGAAAAAAAAAGAAATAAAAAATCATGGGGTTCCCCCCAAAAGTCATACCAGGCCCTTAAGGTCTGGTAGGAACTTTAAGGAGGAACCCACCCCCCAAAAATGTGGGCACAAAAACGTGTATCCAGAGTCAATCACGACAACGACTTGACGAAATGTAAAAAAAAACAATAAAAAATAAATAGAAAGAATAATTTTTAAAAAGACGCTTGCCATCCCATCTGCTCGCAACGAACTACCGCCACAGAATGGCATTTTGACAGATGTCGGCAACATATAAACAATTGGGCGGAGCTAGCAGTGAGAGCTAGCTCGGCCCAACTTTTTACAGTTGTACGGCATCTGAGAGGTGAGCCATGATTGGGCACTTTGCAACGCCCTAACAGTATGCGTGTTCGCCGAAGACACAAACTGCCAATGTTCGAGTCGAACATCGAGCCCATGACTACTGTAGATGTGTTTTGGGGTGCCATTAAGAATGAATGACAACACACATATACAGAGCCAGAGGGTTGCTTTTGCCGCCCCGGGCCAGTACTATTAAGATACTGTATATTGTTCTGATGGCCCTGGCCTAAAGGTAGATCTTGTTTTAAAGAATGTATTTTATTAAACTTTTCCAATACATTTTTCATCATTGTTCCACTCAACACAGTATAAAAAACATATATCCCTCTTTAAAGTCCTCTTTCCAGCTTCTTCATATCAACTAAAATATACATAATTTTCTCTCTTATCCACTTTACTGCCTCTTGATTATCAAAACAAGTTTAACACTCTTTCACCTCTGTCTCCCATACTTCACCCTCCCCCATACCCCTTCTTCCCTCACCGATCACCTTCAGACCCTCACACATCCTCTCACCCTCTTTGACAAATCATTCAAGAAAACAAACAAAAAAAAGGTAGATCTTATATTTATATATATGTTCATTAAGCCTAAGCAGTGCTGCAGCAAAATTGTTCCTTTCATGGCAAAATAAATTAGCCAAAAACACTCCACTAATCTGAAACCACTAAGATATAATTTCACAAAGCAGAATTCCACTGAAAACATCACTGTGTGACAATTTACATAGGAATACACATAATAGGAATGGCTCATTTTGCGTATAAGCATATGTGTGGATAAGCTAATTAAATATGAAAGAAAAAAACATAGCCATAGAAATGTGACACGAGTTTACTGTCGCTTACAGCAAGACATCCACCACGTACTTACCCATTGTAAGCCACTGTAACACCAGCAAATGGCTCATTGCCACACTTCGCAAAAATGAAGACTGTTACCAAAGCGATGGACACAAAGGACAATATTATTGAAAATCGAATAATGTTTTTACAATCAAACTTGAATTTTGAGACAATGACACCACCAATGACTTGTCCAATTGCTGCTGCTGGAATTAGTACACCACCTGGGAAGTTAAAATAGAACGAGCAAGAATTAACATTAATAAACTTTTTCAATGAAGCAATTCAATGAGCAAAGTGTTAAGCTCCAGGCAGAAAAAAAAAACACAAATGAATGGAGCTCTGTTTGTTGGTATCTGACTATTGTAATCCCCTCTATAGCAACACTCAGACTGGGGGAGGAAGGCCATGACTGGGAGCCAAACTGATGTGTTGGGCGATGGGGAGAATGGGCTGCCAGAGGGATTCTGATGCACAATCCATCAGCTGGAGAAGAGGGAAAAGAGGTGAGCACCAACTGGCAGTAGGAGCAGGGCACAGCTAAGTAAAAGACCTTTACACATCCCCTAACACCAACTGCCAGTGGGAGCGGGGATTGGGTAAGTAACACATCGTAGAAATAATGGGGGGAATTTATCAAAACTGGAGCAGACAAAATCTGGAGCAGTTACCCATGGTAACCAATCAGCTTCTCTCTTCAGTTTGTTCAGTTAAGATTTGAAAATGAAAGAGAGAAGCTGATTGGTTGCCATGCACAGCTGATCCAGATTTTGTCTGCTCCAGTTTTAATAAATTCCCCTCACAGAGCAGCTAACCACTGTCTCACAGCAAAGGGAGTTTTTTGTTAACCTGGAGATAGGCTTTAAGTTATTTGCAGTTATTAAAGTGAACATTTTAAGAGTTCAGAGACAATGCTTTAACTCACATACCCTGTTTTTCCGAAAATAAGACCTACCCCGAAAATAATACCTAGTACTATTTTTGGAAATTGCTAAAATATAAGACCTACCCCGAAAATAAGACCTAGTAGGGGAACTTGAAGAGCCGCGGAAGAGGCAGGAGAGAATCGGCGGTGCCAACCAAGCCAGCGCTAGAGGAAGCGAGGCGGCAACGAAAGGAGCAGAGCCGATGCCTCCTCTATAGCGCCGGCTTCTGCACAGGCGGAGTGATACCAAATGCACTCCGCCTCTGAGGAATCGATAGTGAAAGTGCGCTTCTCTCATTCTGGCCAACGATTGGTTAGGAAATTGCTCTTGGAAAGGTACAGCGTCCCTGATCACCATATTTTTGTACATGAATACATGTAGACTGTTGTACATTAAAAAAAAATAAGACCTAGTGTGTTTTTATGAGCCAAAACAAATATACGGCAGTGTCTTATTTTCGAGGAAACACGGTAGGAAGGTAAATAACATACATATTCTTCTACCAACCAGGGGACATCCATATAGTAAGACTGTGCTATAGACCTGCATATTACACCTATTAACAATATTTGAGATTGTGTATGTGGCTTATTTTAAATACGTTAAATAAATTGCAGGCCAAGTAGGGCTGTGTTTGAACATTTTGCATTTTTGCAATAATATAAAGATACATTTTAATTTTTGATTAGTGTAATACCACAAGTGTCCACAGCAACACAATCAGTACCATACTGACAGAATCAGGAACATGTCCACAGAGAACACTCACCTGCTTCTACAGAATCACTTCCTCACTGCCCAAAATGCTGCATAATTTTGTTCAAATTATCAGGGGCAGTGATGATGCCACATCTCGCTGGTTTCAAAGTTCAGGGACTAACACCATAGGGAATAGGTAATTGGTCTCGAACTATCCTGTTATTGGTGAATTGCCACCATCAACAAGATAGCTAGTGTAATATGAACCTTCGGCCAGATTCAGACGATAACGGATGTACCATGGTGTAATGTGATGGCATTCATTTTGAATGCCACAGCAACACACAGTAATGTACTTGCATGTGCATTAATAAGTCAGTTGTAAGTGCAGGCAATTGACAGACAAGTCTTTCAGGGGCAGTGGTGAGAACTCACTTTGAAGAGTAACTTTCTTCTCACTTCCTGTGGTTTTACAGGACAAGAAGTAAAGAGAAATCTGCCAAATGGAAAACATATTCCAATAAAACTCACAAAAGTTTTAACCCTTACCTACTCCATGCAAAAAAATAGGGGTTCACATACACTTTAAAGTTGTTAAAGTCAAAATGTTTTTAAGCTTTTTCAATTGCTGATTAAATCGCTTACAAAGGATACTGCTTCTTAATGTTTAAAATTTGTGTTTCCTGCTGCATCATCTGGTCCCCTAAAAGATGTGCACATGACCAGAAACAAACGTACACTGCTCTTACTAAGGGACAGGAAGTGTGAGGGGAGAGAAGAGCCACAGGAGCGAGCACAGCAGACTTTCTAAAGAGATTAAAATAGTAAGACTTTATTTTAACACATAAATAAATATGGCTTTGGGGAATGTTCATTGTGTAGATGTGTATAAGGAGAAAAAGGGGTTTGGTGTCGCTTTAAGTAATACTTTGACTTCCTGTAGTAGATATTATTCAACATTTCCTTATCTTTCTACAATGTTGCTTAAACTCCCTGGTACAATTCGTTGTTTAAAAAAATATTTGTTCTTCCTCTTCTTCTGTGGTTCTGCTAAAAGCATTATGCAGACACTGCGTTGTAATTGTTAAAGGAAAAAAAATGTTAGGTGTCAAGCAGGCATATTCCAAAACATGTCTGATATGTCACCAACAACTTTGTTCTTACTATTGAGCATTTGCTAGCTGCCATTTATGCTGCCGATCCCAGTGTTATCCTGTCAAGTCATTCTAATACTCATTTAAGGACCTTTTATTTACTATTGCTTAAGACAGAATACTGCAGGTTTGGTACATTGAAAATGTACACAGTTAATTTACATAGTTTTATGACACACTATGCATGTTATATGAGTTATTGGATATTAATGCACATTGAAAACTACATTCACAGAAAGTAAAAGTCTATGCTATTGATATGAGCACTGATCACTTTTTGACATTTAGCGATAGTCTATCAGAGACTGAAGAACTTTAGACACACTGCCACTTTGCTATGAAGTAAAGTTGATTTCCTGACTAACACTATGGCAGCGTATGGTGTCTCCACCCTTGCTCCTATCACATGGGACCTAACTCCAATTTGAGGCTGATCCATTCCATGCATTCCTTTTTTGTCTTCCTCATGGGACCTAAAAAGTTGCACTGTGCAAGCAGCTCTCCCTACCTGGCTGCGATAAAGTTGCTCCCCAGGTGAAGCCCCTGTGCATAGTTCATAAACTGGCTCTCTTTTTTTGGACTTGCGCTGGCATCATTGATAGACTGCCTAGCTAATAGCAGGTCTGCTTGGAGGTGACTGCGGACATCCTTATTTTGGCTTAGTGCTCCTTTCTTGTGCCCTCTTCTTTCTCCCTTATTTTCTTATATAGCCTTCATTGGTATGGCTGCTGAGTCCTCTATTCTACCCCCTTTGCTTTGGTTAGCTGTTTGGTGCATTTCCCATTCCTTGGAGGACTGAAACCGACCCGGTTGTTTCAAGCATGCTGCACCATGTGTAGTGCGTTTTTAGCCTATTACCATGGCACTGGAAGGGATGCTTCCTTTCCCAGCACGTGTGCAATTAGGCCTGGTCCCTATTTCATAATTACTTTCTACCACTGAAACCAAATCCCCAATTCTGTGGCCAACTTTTAACTGGCAGAAGGGAAACGCTGGATCAGAGACTGGAACCAGCGCTGGAGGAACTCCTGAAAACTACTGAAAAGAAGAAAATGATCGGATCAAGAGGCATCATTTAAGGTAAGTCCTTATACCAGCATTGGGGGGTTTAAAAATGTGGGCTTTAATTTCACTTTAAGAGGAAAAGAAGGACAGAGGGATTTGGTTCCAAATGAGGGACAGTCCCTCCAAATGAGGGACAGTTGGGACATAGCAGGGTCAATGCGTATGGAGGACAGTGCTTTTAGGGGGGAAAAAATCACCTATGGGTGTTTCGGCATTGAGCGCACAGAAAATTAGGGAAATTCTTCATTAACTCCAGCTTTTGTGTGATGAATTATCCAAGCCCTGATGCACTGTCGCCTCCGCCTCCTCCACGGTTTCTGGTGGGCCCCCGCCTCCTCAATCATCGGGCCCCACCTCCTCCATCTCTGGGCCCCACCTCCTCCTTCCCTGTCGATGCCGGGCCCAGCCTCCTCCTCTGCAGCTGCTGGTTGTCAGTGACTCAGCAGCAGTTGTGAGGACACATCAGCGATCTGAACAGCAGCACTTTCCTCCTCACAGTTGCCAGTGACAGCCAGAAGTCTGAGATGCCATAGCGACCCAGGTGGCCCATATGGCATCAGGGGGATCTCCTGGTCGGGCCCCCCTGTGCCCTGGGCCCCATAGCGGCCGCCTGGGTCGCTATGGCGATTGTTCCGCCACTGGTGGTATACTATTTGACAGCTGACAATGTCAAATGGGCAGAGCGAGCCCCGTGATGACTTGTAGCCCTATAACAGAGCTCAGACTGGGGGAGGAAGAGGCAGCACGGTGAGTTCATCATTTGTTCTGCAGTGCAAGGAATCATGCTGAGGGTGAGAGCAGAGTAACAAAGATGCAATATTAGTCTTCTGCTTTTCCTTTAGACAAGACCTGTAAGTGTTACTGAAATGTACGAAACAAAAAAATAGGTCTCCTACCCGGCCAGACAGAACTGTGCATCAGAATTGCGCAAATCTTGAGACTAGATGGGAAGAAAACATTTTTTTTCCCCAAAGCTTTTGGGTAAAACAGTTCCCTTATATTATTTCATCTGGGTATTTAGCTACTTGCCTGTAGTTCATCATTAAGGCACCATAAAGTGTATTTAACCACTTCCGGGCCTCTATACGTCTACAGACGGCGGCCCGTTAAAGTGGTTAAAACAAGAACATGGCTGCTGCAGCAGCCGTGTTCTTGGTACCGCTTTTAACAGCAGGCGATTGCTGTTAATGTACAAGTGATCTGACATCTGTAACCCCAACGTGCACGCACATACACACGCAAACACCGGTATGCCTACGTGCGAAAACGACAATTGCGCTACAATTATAGCTGCGAACGTCAGAGTGAGAGCAATAATTCTAGGGCCATCGATCACTGTTAGCACTAAACTGATAAATGGTAAAAGCGTTTAAAATGTTCCCTATGGGAAATTTGGGGTATTTACTTTTTTTGCGGCTTCGCAGGCGAATGCAATTTTAAGGCTTGGCATGTTTGGTGTCTATTTACCCGACGTGATCCCGTCTTTCACATTTTACCAAAATATTGGGTATTATATTATGTTTCTGTGCACTAAATTTTCATTCAGTTTATTTTTTCCTAAAAATACTGGTTTGATATACATTTGCGCAAAAACTGTGCAACATAAAACATTATAACTAGCATTTTTTTAATTCTATAACGCCTCTGCTCTCAGAACATATATATAATTGTTTGGGGGTCTGAAGCTGCTTTCTAGCCAAAAATTATATTTTATCATGTGTGCGCAAATAGTAAGAAAATGCCCCGGACAGCAAGTGGTTAAAGCACGCTAAGTATGTCACAGTATTCCTTAAATATCACTGTAATTTAACGAATCAGGACCTATATTCCAGCACCAAGATACAGTATAATATCAGAAGCAAAAACTCCTCGAAAATACTTTTAGCCCTCATGTACATGGGCATAACTAGGGGAGTACAGCCTAAATTCTGGCTGTTATTGAGCGCTTCGAAAGCCGAGCTGCTGCATACAGCATAGTCTTAAATGGATGTGTACAGTTATACGCCGGTGTTTGCATACATCCGCATAATAACGGATTCCCTGAAGGTAGAACGAATACGCCTGTGTGCATAAGGCATTAATATAATAAATCAACAATCCAGATTACTTCCAGAAATTTGTCACATACAAAAAAAGGAGTTACTCACCTCCTAGAATGGCTGCGAAGCTTGATGTCAAAGAAAACTGGTTTTCAATAAATTTTGGAAGGAATGTTGCAAAGCCGGTGGTGATAAATGCGTCAGCGCAGCTGGCAAATGTTAGGGCCATAAGTACCGGGTTCTTTACCAACAGCTAGAACAGGTACAATGAAATTGTTACGTAAAGCACAGGACAACCCAGTAATAGAAAACAAAAAGCCTGAATTCCATTCCAGTTCATATTTTTATTAAAGAGCACCAGTTCATATTTTTATTAAAGAGAACAAGTCACCAGCAGGCAATTGTAATACTCTGAATATCTAAACTAAAAGTTTTGTTAAAACTAAAGAAAACGTAAGGCTTTGTTAACTGATCATTTAAAGTCAAAAACATTTTTTTTCTAGTTTTGGAAAGAGTGGGGGGAAGTTAGAACCCCTGCTAGAAATGCTGACTAGGCCTTAAGCCTAGAGGAGGCCACACCTGTGGACCCTGGAGGGGTCAGTAACTGATTGAGGAAGAGAATCAGATAAATTAGATGGCTGCTGGAGGTGCCTGGTACTGGTACGGACCTCAGGAGCAAGTTTGGTGTCTCTCCTATGGAAGATCTCACGCCTATCCCTGTTCAGCTGTTTCTTTATTGCCCAGTGCCAGCCGTTCTCCTATTGATACTGCACTGTGGAAGACTGAAAGGGAATTGGTGAGTCTGGAGTCTGTATCTACTTTTACCATGGATGTCCTAAGCCCAATACCCTCTCTGCCTGTTGATGTTCTCCAATAAAGCATTTAAAAGGGCACTTAAAGTACCTGGCGCCCAACTTTCTTGACCACACATCCCTTCACTGGCTAAGGATCTGCCCCCGAAAGTGAAATGTCAGCCCTCTCTTCCCTTTGGGGGTCCACTTCAGACCTCTGGAGGTCTGGGGGGCGCTACACAAGACTAAAAAAAGGTTTTGGCTTAACATACTTTAACTTTAACATACTTTAACAGTAAGAGGGGAGAGCACTGCTCTACCCTCTCACTGTGTACACGAAGCGGCAGGGTTAGTTTTAACCCTGCCGATCTGCTCACCGCTCTCCATCCTGGGGACGTCGGCTGCCAGCGAGGAGAGGACGGAGTCGGGAGAACGCAGCATGGAGAGAGGTAGGTGCAGTGTTATTACAAGTAATCTTGGCGACATCGGCAAGATCACATGTAAACGAACAATCGGCTTCCCCCATTCTTCATTTAGCCCTGCTTGTGAAAAGCAGGGCTAAATGTAGAAAACAAATTACCGCCCGGCGCCCGGAACTCCATGTTCCGGGCGTCGGGTGACTTCAAACGTGTGCAGCCCCTCTTCCCCCTTGCCGCCCCGAGGCCGGCCCTCGGTGGCCTTGCCGGGAATCCGGCCCTGGGTAGATACAGACATCAGAGCAATTTAAGGGAGCACAAAATGACAAGAGCTGCAAGAGTAGTTCCCTCACACCCATCCTGATAACAGATCCCACTGCTCTGCTGAGGTTGGACTTTAGCTTTGGTATTGGTTCATGTTACTATCATCAGACATATTTTCTCACCAAAAGAGCCAAAGGGAAATCTTTGAAAGTTTTGCCAATGTTTTGAGCTTCCACAATGCCTTCACTTCCATTGTTATGCGCTTCTGATATTCTTTTGGACTGGGCGGCTGCTGTACCTGTAACACCATAACACATATTAGCCATGTTAATGTGTTATACACAGAGAGAGTAAATCTGCATATAACAGACTTGAATTTTAGTAATATGTGACATCAGAGAATCCTTGAGTTCTGTAACATACCGTGGTAAACATAAAGGCGCTGTATCAGCTACATAAAGAAAAGACATGTTTACTAAATTGTTCACTTTTAGTTTCTTTTCCACATGACATGTCATTTAAACAAATCTGTATGTATTTACTTATTTGTCATACACACCTTGGAGGTAGTTTGTTAGCATTTCTACCGGGTATCACCTATAACTGAAAAAAATCACTATTGGGTAAACTGAATCTTTAAAGGCACCCTATCAGAACAGACCTATTAGAGCTCCCATTGCTGACTTTGTTTGTGCTGGCTCCTGGACTGTCGTATTAGTTCTTGATTCAGGACCTAGTGAGTCACTGACCTGGAATAAGTATATAGTCAATAAAGTCCAAACTCTCGTCTGCAAACTTATTCCAGCTTTGTTATTCAGTTAATCAAGGATGCGGGTGGCAGCTGCCTATATAGCACTTTGAAAAAGTAACTTTACAGGTTGCCTCTAACCAACAGAGAACTAGAATCCCTCAAGGGTTTTCCTTTCTGTCCAGTCATTCTCCCGACAGTTACTTCCATGTGTTGTGCACAGTCACTTTCTTAGACGACCACACCAGAGTCGTCCAGATTGTATGACACTTTCTGCTAATATATAGTGATCTCAAGACCTCCTGCACTTTGTTAGATGCAATTTATTTATCTGCAAAATTGAATTTGAATGCATTCTGTTGTCCTATTTTCCAGCATGCAAGCATAATATACAAATCAACTTTGGATTAACAGCAAGATTTTCTAATCAATAACTGAAGAACAAACCCAGGATGTTAATCACATGTTAAAAAGCAGTAAGTCTAGCACCATAAAAATGCATAATATTCTTTTACCATTTTATCATTATTTTACCATATGATTACATCAGTTAAAATACTGCCCACCTTCATTTTCTATGCAACTCCAGGACCCTCTTTTTTTGTAACACAGAGTACTCTGAATTCATATTAAAGTAAAATATGAAACAGGCAGTAGCCTGCTTATGGCGAAGAAGCAGTTTGGCAATGGGGATAAGCAAAATGTCCAATTCCTAAAAATAAGGGCAAAACTTGAGTGAAACTGAATGTAAAGCATGGAGGGATGAGAAGAGTGTTACGAGAGTGGTCACATGTAGTGATGAGATGAATACCCCAGTGTTCGGTTCGAATTCGAACTTTCGAACATCGGAAAAGTTAGAATTCAAACTCAATGCAGGTCTATGGGGGTAGAACTTTGAAAACCAAATGTCCCCATTTTGAAGCCTTATATGCAATTTATTGGCCATAAAAAGTGTATGGGGATCCGGGTACTGCACTGGGGACAGGAATCAATAAACAGGAACAAACAGGAATTTTAAAGCGTCGCCTATGGTCAATTTTGGGTATGGTAGTTATTTGCGATTTCGCGGGTGTGCGCAATTTTAAAGCTCAACATGTTTGGTGTCTATTTACCCAACGTGACCCCGTCTTTTATATTTTACCAAAAATTGGGTAAGAATAAATGTATTATAACATAATGTTAAAAAAAATCCTTTATTTGGAAAAAAAAAGACATATTTTGGCAAGTCTTGTATTTTTAAAAAAATTGATCCACCGACGTAATCCAGCATTGTCCACAATGACAACTCGACTGAATAAAAAATAAAACAATAAAAAATAAATAGACACAATAATAAAAAAAAAAAACAGACGAGCGCCGTCCCGTCCGCTGCGATGGACAACAGCCGGAGAATGTCATTTTAACAGATGCAGGCAAACAATTGGGCGGAGCTAGCAGTGACAGCTAGCTCCACCCAACTGTTTACAGTTGTAACAGGTGAGCCATGATTGGGCAGAGTCATCATGACTTTGCCCAATCTTGGCTCTCACAGTTCTATGTGCCCTGATTGGGCAAAGTCTTGCACCTGACCTGTGGTCAGGTGCAAGGCTATAGCCAATTAGGGCTCTCAAGTCACAGTGCCCTGTACGGATTGCACGGCAGGCGAACAGCCCGCTGAACACACTTTGTTTGCCGAACACACGAACTGCCCATGTTCGAGTCGAACTATCGTTCGGCACGAACATCAAGCCCATCCCTAGTCACATGGAGGAGGAAAAGTGACAGTTATTTAAAAAAAGAATCCAATGAGTGTTCAAAATGACAGTAGGGATGAGCCGAGCTGGCGGAGTTTAGTTCAAGCAGGGTTTAGCAAACACAGCTGGAAGTCCATGAACCCTGAACATACCGCCAAACACCATTGAAGTTTAAGGGAGATGAAACTAGCTGGTCTTTTAATAGGCAAGCTATTGTTGAAAAAGGGCTGGGCACTGCCATGGGGGACATGTACTACTGCAAAAAAAAACGTTTTAAAACAATTCCATAGAGCAGGAAGAGGGTATTTTTATGTAGCTTAAAGGGCAACATTGAAAAATACACAAATCTTTTCCTGACTGGACTGGAGGAATGGATGGGGAGGGGGCGGGTACAGCTGGCTCTGCCTCTACATAGGCAGAGCCAGCTGTCACTCACGCAGCTGGGTGGATCTCGACAGGAATGTCGGGATCCATCCTGGCTGCGGCGGTCTCAGTTTACCGCGAGCTGTAGCTCGTGATATACTAAGCTTTGGGTCACGGGAGGATGCTAGTATATGTCCTCCCGTGACCCTTAAGAGAACAATGGGGAAAAACACTTACCCCATAGTTCTCTTTTAAGCCTATGGTCTCTATTATCTAACATATCAGTCACCGTTTGCATATTTACAACAGTCCTATTTCTATATAAAACATACAAAAAGTTAAAATATTGCTTTTGCCAAGAAATGTGAGCAGCCTGGATCATCCATACATGTGAATACTTTGCATACTTAGACTTGTTCACGTGCAGGGGCGGACTGACAACACATGGGGCCCCCGGCCAGTAGAGATTATGGGACCCCCTTGTGCTCCGCCCATATACAAGCCCCACCCACAAGCCCCACCTGCATAAACCTTCTTGTGATACAGAAATTATTTCTCCACACTATTTTTAAAATAATGGGCCAATTCACTAAAAGGTAAATTGCTGGGGAACAGGTATGAGAATTGAAAAATCTAGACCGACATAGGCAATTAGTAAAGTGAGCAAAATGGTAGATTGCATGGCAGACCTCAGACCCGAACCATTACACGGCAGACCTCAGACCAGAACTAATACACGGCAGACCTCAGACCAAAACCAATGCACCGCAGACTTCAGACCAGAACCAATACACGGCAGACCTTAGACCAGAACCAATATACGGGAGACCTCAGACCCACACCAATGCACGACAGATCTCAGACCAGAACCAATAAATAGGAGAGTCCTCTGACCAGAACCAGTGATTTCAGCTGTGAGTATGGAATCATTCAAAAAGCGTTTGGACGATTTCCTCAGGGACCGTAACATACAGGGGAACAGGCACACTTAAGAACAAGATCACACATGGACTAATACACATGTCGAATCACATGCATACATGCAATAGGTTGGACTTGATGGACATGTGTCTTTATTCAACCTCAAATACTATGTAACTATGTAACTATCTAACAATAGTACATTATACAGAGCAATACAGAATACCACCAGCTATAGAGGAATACAACAAATCCCAGCAATAGTACATTATAGCTGGTGGTATTCTGCATTGCTCTGTATAATGTACTATTGCTGGGATTTGTATTCCTCTATAGCTGATGGTATATTGCTCTGTATAGCAATACATTATTACATTGAATTGTGCCATTTGGTGGAAAGTGCAGGCTTAGCTAAGCAGTCTCCCAGCAATTTTCTTCCGAGATACAGCCTGTCTGTCGGCAGGTGCCGTCCCCCCATGCCTGCTCCTCCTTCCTTCATCTTCTCCCCGCATCTCTGTACCATCTCCCTATGCCGATCGTGGATGCAGGTGGGTGGGTCTGGCATGCGGAGGGTCTAAGCAGGGGCAGATGCGGATGGTCTCACCGGGGTCACGTGCAGATGGTCTCACCGGGGTCAGGGGCGGTGGTCTCAGCAGCGTCAGGAGCGGGGGTCTCTGCCGTGTCAGCGGCGTGGGTCCCAGCAGCGTCAGGTGCGGATGGTTTCACCAGGGTCAGGTGCGGATGGTCTCACCAGGGTCAGGTGCAGATGGTCTCACCAGCGTCAGCGACGCCACGCCACGCCGCTGTCAGTCGATGCGCTGTGTTAAAGCAGCGACGGCAGTGCCTGGAGAGCCCGGCAGGCGGGCGACACTGCCGTCGCGGCTTTAACGCAGCCACGTCTCCGTTTATGCGGGCTGAAAAGGGCAGGGGGAGTTCGGCGAAGGGCCACTTTATGACCGCGGGCCCTTGGGCAGTGCCCGACTGCCCGTATGGTCAGTCCGGCCCTGGTCAAGTGTTTGTTTTAAAGCACATATTTGAAATCCCAAACTACTTCTTGTATTTACTGTGGAACAGTACACAGGTTTTTGTCAACGGTGTCACTTTACATTAGCATAAAAGGTATACTCATGCAATGATTCATGGCATTAGCACCAATGAAAATGCTTCGATCCATAAACAAGATAAAACTGGATTTTCTAGATTTTTTCTATCACTCCCACCTAATTTTCTCATGTGTAATCACATGAAATAAATGTATGAACCATTATTTATTCAATATGCTTTTATGTCACGTGTTTAAAACATGAATCCATATTTTATACCCATATTCTATTATGTCTAAAGTTGACATGTAAGTCATGTAACTTAGTCATTCATGTGATATGCAAGTCATGTGACTCAATATGATTCTCACCTGGTAAGTGTTTTGGAAAACAGGAGAAAGGCATAATAAGTAGCCATGTTGTTAGGCCTACGATTACAAATGCAATCCACCACGCACCAAGCCAACGGGGGTCATTTGGAGAAAGAGGAACACTTTAGGGAAAATCATAGGAATTTTATGTGAATATTATGAGATGTGACTTTCAAAACATAATAAAACTGATTCATTTATCGTTTCTGATTTGCTAGCATTATAATCAAGGACAAAAATTACAAAAACTTTAGGGACGAGTGAGGAAGGGTGGAACCCCCTTTTAGGTTTATACTATTTGTGAGATTTTTATTCATTTTGTATCCCAATGACAGGATCTCAGGTGCAGACAGGCAACTGGAGACATTTTTAATTGCTTTCTGTCCCAGTGACACAAGAGAAAGTGCTAGGAAATAAATGGAAAACACTGGAAATGTGAACATAAAAGGCAACCCCTTAAAAATAAGTGCTATGTAGGGAACCCTGGAACTATGTTAAAGTTAGAAAGTCTCCCCGTTGTAGCCTAGTCTGAGCACACATCCGCTTTGATGTTATAAGGCGGGAAAGCCAAACTTTGGCCCTCCAGCTGTTGTGGTGTTAATTTAAAGATATGGGTACAGGTCTGCTTTAACTGATAACAGTCAGCACAAGCAAAGAGCCCACAACATTATCAGCTCACAAGATTTCCAGCAGGATTAACAGGTTTTTTTCTCTTTGCACTTATTAAACAGACATGACAAAACACTTTGATGGCACATTTAACAGATTCAAAATGAGATCAAGTAGGAGAAGTACAATGTAAGGGTTTACATACAGTTAGAATAGGGCATGCTGAGAAATAATTACTGGGTAAAATAATGCACTTGCCTTTTCTTTTTTTCAAAGTCAATATAAATATCTAACGTCTGTGAACCTATTAAGTATCCAACTGCAGGTCCCACCACAGACATTCCATATGCAATTCCTGGAAAAAAGATCAAATGTTAGACTGCAGATTCTTTGACACTAATTTGAAGGAATGCCTATTCTTATCTAACTAAAGAGTGTTTAAATAATCAAACGTTGAAGATATATTTCTGTACAGTCATGAAATCTACGAAAACACTTAAACTAAAGCTGCCCATACACTGATCAATTAGTCTCATTCAGCCCCGGGGTGAATAAAAAAAAAACACTCGATTAACCCATCTGTGATAAAAAGCGTGAATAGGTGAACCCAACCCCCCCTTCCCACCAGGCTATTGAATTCTGACATCGGTGGGTGTGCTGCTCTCAGAAAACCCGCACAGTGACTACAGCTGATTACAATTTTCAGACCGACTCCTTTGACACTTTATATGACCATTTATTTTTCAGTTGACTGTTGTTGAAGGAGTCGGTCCAAAGAAGGGGTGCCGACAGAGCCATACACTGCTCGAATTTCGGCCCAGTCAGCAGGATGAAATTCAAACAGTGTACAGCTAGCTTAGGTCCTAATTCACTTGCATGTTTTTCAATTATTGTTTTTATTAATAATGGATCCAGATCAAACAAATATAAATGTACATCTTTACCTCCTCATGTATCACTGGCCCCTCCTTTTTAGATTGTAAGCCCTCACGGGCAGGACCCTTCTTACCATCTTGTGTTGAATTGTATTGTAATGTCTTCCTTATATTGTAAAGTGCTGCACAAACTGTTGGTGCTATATAAATCCTGTATAATAATAATAATAATAATCTTTGCCTAAGCACTTACAATCATCATGTTTCCGAACAGCTCCAACTATCTTAGTTCGGTTTCCCTGAACGTCCTGTCTAGTGTAATATCACAAGGGAGAGCATAGTCTCCAGCAGATGCTTGCTTGGAGGAAAGAGGAGAGGGGAGCAGGGGGGAGTGGGGATTGGTTTGCCTTGCTGTGCCTGTGTGTTTGCAGAGACACACACAGCTTACTAGCACACACAAGGGTGGCTCCATAGGACCCTGCAAGGAAAGGAACCACCCTAAAACAGGACATCAGGACCAGTGCTCAGGAGACCAGCTAATTCTACAGGAAACTAACACTAACACATCAAGGAGCAGCATCCATTGTAAACGAATTAAATCAGCATTTGAAATAGCTTAAACATCTTTTAAATTTCATATCACTTTAATGCATGTGTGATTTGTACTGTACAATGATATTGATATATATAATAATGCTAAACATTTTTTTTTTGTGTCAATATATGATCACAAAAGTCCAGTTACCTATGTACAATGAAGATTTGTGGGTTGGAAGGCTGTCATCAAAAAAAGCTGTTCCCAAAGTATACAATGGAGTTCCTCCAACTCCCATTAGCAGCTGCCCGAGGATAAAGACATAGAGGTAGTTTGAGAGGGAGGAACCTTTTTTTCCAGTACAATCCAGCCCAGTGCTGTTATTTCCTGATGTTTCACAGAAATCTGAAAAATAAATACATTTCTTAAAGTATAGCACCATGTTATTAAAAATCACACTTGTGCAATCCTTATTGTGAATGATTTTGTACTGTGTATTATGTACATGTTCACATTGCCACTCCTTTGCCGGAATCTCACTCCATCATCTCAAGTGATGCTTGAATAGTATGCTCAGTTTGCCAAGACTAACCTGTGTATAGGTATCAAAAACAATTCATGTTCAGGGAGTAATATTAAAGCCAGGAAGTGGAAAAAAATAAAACCACCTCTGCAGACCTTCTCTACAGATCCATTAGAGTAAAAGCCCAACTAAACCTCCAGTTTAAATGCATTCCAACCACCTCAAAGAAAAAGGTGTTCAAAATTTTGCAGGCCAATTTCTTTAAAAAGGAGCCATTGTCTGAATGAAAAAGTCTATCCCCTGCCAGCATTCTGCAGAGAAGGATCCCTGCTTTCTATGTAGAAGCAGTGACCCCCAGCTGAGTTAGACCTATAGATCTGCCGTTAGCAAAGCTCATGCTTCCTGCTGATTGCCAAACTTTAGGCTTGAATCAGCAAGAGATGTGTTGGGCATCTGCAGAGGGACCACTGCTTCTACACAGAGAGCAAGGGTCCCTCTCTGAAGCATGCTGGAGAGGACAGGCTTTTCTACTCTGGATGTGGTGACAATCTGTAAGATGTTGCACATCTTTTGTTTGCTGCACCTGGAATTTATGTAGCCAAGATAAACTGAAATTGGGCTTTAAGTTTGGCCTTTAGTCAACTCCTCTAGTTGTGCTGCTTATGTGTTGGAAGACTTCCAATTAGCGTCAACGGGTCCAAGACATACAGGTCTAACTGGTGTTTTTTCCAAAACAGATATCCTAAATGCAGGACTGCATTTATCATTGGGTGCAGTAGGCCTATGTCTATAGATGGCAGTGGCAAAAAGGCAGTTTTTCTCCATATAGTTATTTGCCACACATTCTATCTTTTAAAGGCACTAATATCCCACTTATCTATACTGTATGCTTAATTTATCGTTGTGGTCACGTGTTATGTAAAATTTAAAGAAAAACTTGCATGCAATGCTGTTCTGCTGAGTGTCTTGATCTGGGAACTGGAGCACTAGGAAAGGTTGGTTCTGGGGCTTATGGAGCGTGTAAGACTGTTGAGCTGAAGTGATGCCTGGGATGCAGGTCACAGGGAACCCAGGGACTGAAGTGGCCGCCGTTACTGGGTGCATGCTAGAGGCCCAGAGTCTGAGGATCGGCTGGTCTTCAGCAGAGCCCCAGAAGGTGGTGATGTTCCGCTGCCGGATACCTCCCAGGTTGCAGCCTTCTAACAAACCCATGCAGGCACAAACAACAGGATACTGCAGAGATGAGAAGTAGGACAGATGCTCCACTAAGGTTCAGGATTCAAAGGCAGGCAGGGGTGCAGCCTGTATACAGACTGCGGATCAAGGGTACAGGATACCAAGGAACTCAGAGATAGATGTGATAGGAACACACGTATACAACAGAGAGTCAACAAGAACATGGCTATCCAGGATACTCTGAAATGATTAATGCTCTTGCATACACTTGCTCTTCAACACTAATACGGACTTCTAGCTTCATTAAACTTATTTGTAGAACTACAAACCTCAGCCCTCCTATAAGGTTTTCACAGACTGCAATTAGCCATACAGGGTTCATTTTAGTCTATAGCAGAAGCCCAAAGGGCAATGAATCTACACTGCTAAGATTGATAAGCAAATACCTCTTACTGCACAGAGGGGTATCTGTGACTAGACAATGAGGTCTGACTTCAGTCCTTCTCTACTGGAAACCTCACCACTTAGTTTTCCTAATCAGGGGACCCCTCCTACCCCAGGCCCCATAGCAGATGCATGGGCTGCTATGGCCATTGTTACGCCACTGCGTCTAACCCATGCTTATTTTTCATAAGGAATAAAACAATCATAAGGAAGAAACAATATAGTAAGATAAATTTTAACAGCTGTGTTTTCTTGCAGGGTGTTAAATAGTCAGTGGACGTTGGAGCATTGCACACACTAGATCATTGAGGGGATATATTATAATATGTCGTCTACAGTCTTATGTGAATGTATATACGACATTAATTCCCCCAGCGCCATATGATTATTATACTGTAGGAAAAAAATTTACATTGTTAACATAATATCTTGTATGAGACATTTGATGACCATATTTCTCTGTGTATCAGCTCATTAGACAATGAATTCAGCTGTTCTCTGTGCAATCCAAAACGTAAACTGAGTTGCTAAATCTGGATTAGTGCTACTAGAATTACTTAGGGCTACCAAGGTTACTAGGGTGAGTTCTAAACGTTTGTGGAATAATTGACTCAGATGTTTTATAAAATGAATACTCCAGTCAATATAGGAAATCCGTTGGCACATGTAAGTATAAAGAAAATAAGTGCAAAATGCCGGTAATCAAGTGTTATTGTACATTCATTAACTTACCATTATGTCGGTTTCCATACTGGTATCTACTGGTAGTAAAATGGGGTAAGGAGAACACTATGGATCCCAGTCCAATCATAAATGCTGAAAAGGCAAGCCACCTAGGCTTGTGTCCTCTTTGCCCATAAAAAGATACAAAAAGTGACAAAACACAAAATGAAATGTCGTAGCTGGCAGAGACGAGTCCAGTGAGGGAGCTGTTCAAGTCATAACGTTTCTCAATAGTAGAGATGACTACATTTACCAGGCCATTTACAGCAGTACCTGTAAAAGAACGAAGGACAGTGTCAGCACCAATTCAGAGATGATTTGAGCATCTACAGCTGAGTGATACACAAATAAGATACATTTTTGTAATTAGTTAAGGTACTTGAATGCATTTTTAAGATTTAACTCCTGAGTTTAGTGTCACTTTAAGTCCCTGTTCACACCTAGACATTTTGTAGCTGAAAGGGCTAAGCATTACAACACCCAAACAGAGGATTTTCATTGTTTTCAATGTCCCCTGTCTATACCTGAGTGTCCTGTCATCTGTTGTAAAACACCTATTGCTGGAAAAAGTACATGAGCTACTTTTCTGCAGATGTCTGCACTATTGGCCCCATAGACTTCAATGGAAATGCCTGTAAACACACAACACAAGCGTTTTCCAGCATTTTTTAGGCATTTTGTTGCACGCTTCTCGTGCAACACTGGGGAACAAAATAGATTACAGCACAAGCTAAAAACGTATGTAAAACGCTTTAAAAAATGCCTACAAAAACGCCTAAAAAGCTGACGCTAAGGTGTGAACGTAATTGTCTAGTGAGGAATCTTCCTCACTAGACAATTAAAACACATCACTGCATTGCTTGGAGCCTCTCCATATCTCTCTCTGACTTGACCATCTCTACAGATTTCCTTACATAATATACTAGTGGGTATAACAATGTACCAATGTACCAATTACTGCCCCTTAAGGAAGACCTATATGGTGCAGTACTATCCTGTTCAGGGCAAGCTCAGCCACCCTAACACAACCACAGGTGGGAGAGGGGTGCGTCACAAGGCTACAGCAAGAATTGGCAAGAATACAGTGACTCATATAGAAGGTGGTAGGGAGCTATGAGGCCCCTTTTTAGATGGGCAGTCTAATCAGGTATGCCTGTCACTTTTTCAGGTGGACCCAATTGGATGCACAATGGAAGTCTATAGGCAACTGGATCTAAACGGATGGGTGTCTGTTTACATCTGGCTGCCCCTCAGTCTGGCCAGGTTTGGAAAAAGAAACGGAACAGTGTTCCATTTCGCCAGACCTGATGGTGTCGGATTGGGGGGTAATCGATTCCCCATAGACCGACATGGGGTTCGATCATTTCAGTTCTCTTCTCCATATCAAGATGTAGGAAAAAACTGGACGGACACATCTGTGCACTGATCCTCACCTGATCAGACAGTGTAAAAGGGGCCTTAAGGATCAGAGTACATGCAGACTGTTTATTCTCTTTTTAGATATTCCAATTTGTTATATAATAATAATGTTTCTGCCAAATCTTTTTTTCTGACATTATAAAGGCACTCAATTTCATGAACTCATCACAAGGTAAAATTGTATTTTCAGCTTTCTACAACCCAGTTAAAAACTATTATTATGTTTACCATTTTAGTTCAAACCTAGTTATGCAGGCACAGTATTAGCACGGGGAAGATAAATATACTTTATAACAATGTGAATAAAAACTGTTATGTGCAAGTAATGGGTATCCTGACACCTCACTCCCCTGTGGCTCTGACTTCATTCCCCTATGAGATGAACCATGGTGATTTTTTTGCCAGAGGAGACACCATGATACAATAATTCTGTATGTTCAGTTATTCTGTTCACAATGCATGTAAATAGATTAATTAAACAGATTAAACTGCATGAGTGCACTTTGCAACCATATGAAAACATGAAACTGATACCTAGAGAACCCGTCCTGAAATCACAGCGGATAACCTAAACCTCTCTAATCCAGATTACATCATTGATTACACAGATTAAGAACATAGCTGAATACAAATGAGCTCTAGCAAATCTTGGATCAATTAAGTAAACTGGAAAAGCTACCAAAACATACAACACACCTTACCAATGCATGCATCCTTACATTTTAACTCCAGTCAAAACGTCTTTTATAGTTTGGGATAGAACAAATAAGGGTTAGAACCTCTGGGAGATTTGTATTGCTATATTTTCCTTTTTTCGGCTGTCTGAGATGCAACAGGGGCACAGATATTAATACAAAACTGACAGGGAATCTAGCATCCCTAATCCATACCACCCAACTGCCCCTCATTTGTAATGAATGCCCCTCTTTAGGAACATAATCCCTCTGTCCCTCTTTCCTCCTCAATTGTCCATCTTTTTGGACAGATGTGTAGACCCTTATAATAAATACAATATTAACAAATAAAATGTTACAATACACTGAACCTTTCACACAAACTGTATTGTCAAATTATCATTTTAAAAAGCCAAAACAACAGAAACATAGTGATGTATAAAGCACTTTTGGGTTAAGCCAAATATTTGTTGCTTATTAATTCTTCATGGTCCACTTAACTGGGAGTGTGGCAAGGGTATGTCCTTTGCGTACACACTTTGTGTGTGTCTTTCCCATCTCAGAAAGTTAGGAGGTATGCCTAATCTCCCTAAAAAAGGTCTGCTTTCTGCATCCTGGGTGTTAATTGTTCTTCACTTGCTGTCCTCATGATAACATCTTTACTAGAACAGGAAGTAAAGGGAAATCTTTCCAACACACATCCCATAGAACAGTTTAAACTGACAGGGGTTCTATATACTATTCAAAAGTAAAAATAAGATTTGGCCAGGTATATGCTTCAAAAGACAGATTTTAAAGTTGGGTTAATAAATTGTGGGTTGCCTCCCTGTGGGCACCTAGTTAACACCTCTCCCCCTAAGTTAAATACATTATTAAGAAAACTAAAAAGTAATAGGGTTTCTGGAGGGGTGTGATTGACCATCCAAGAGAGATATATTGAAAATATATCAAATTTTATTTTGTATAATATTAAAAGCGATGCATTTCATATATTTAGCAATAACCCTATATGAAATGCATACAAAATAAAATTTTATATTTTTAATATATCTCTCTTGGATATTCAATCACACCCCTCCAGAAACCCTATTACTTTTTAGTTTTCTTAATAAAATTTTAAAGTTGCCATTGCTGGCTGCCAAATCTTGGGTTTTCTTAAAATGGGGTTAGATCAAAAACTAGCGCTGCACACGATCAATAAACATTTCAGCTTTAACAATTCTCTTTCAAGAACCCTTGGCCTGTCATTCGCTCCTAAGAACATTAATACAGGGTGTTGTTTCTTTAGCTCTTCCTAGCAATCCCCCATTATATCCATGGGACCTCAATCTGGTGCTTTCTTGCCTACAGCAGTCTCCCTTTGAACCTCTGGAAACCATAAGTTTGGAAGACCTTACACATAAAATTGCATTTCCGATTGCAATTACCTCAGCTAGACAAGTATCTGAGTTAGCAGTCCTATCTTGTAAAGAACCATTCCTTGTCTTTCAAAAGATAACGTAGTCTTTAGGCATAAGCAGTGCTTTGTACTTAAAGTGGTTTCTTCCTTTCACATTAATCAGGATATTGTAACTAGACATGTAAGCCGTTTCGTTCCGGATTTTTTATCCTTTCATTTTTTGGGATGCGGTTCTAAATGTTCAATTAGTTTCATTATTCGGAATCAGATCTTTCCGAATTTTCATTTTCATTTCGGAAGAGTTAAACGATAATTATGAATAACATTCCTTGCTGAAATAAACATAGACAATATTGGTTGGTGTGTATTTCACTGTTAAGGTGACATTAAGGGGTTGATTTACTAACCTTTTAAACACACCACGAACGTGTATACACCTCTGTAGTGTGTTCCCTCCCAGCATGATCTATGGGAGGAATCGAAACACCTTTGTAGTGTGTACACACCCAGCAGGTGTGTTGTGCAAAGCCCTGCAATGAATTGCAAGGTAATGTGGTGTAAATTAGCTCTATGTTATGTTGCTTGCGTTGATGAATGCAGGAATGTAAATGCATGAGCTAACCATTTTTGTCTAAACTGTGAAGCAGCATTATATATGCATCATGTGCATGATTTTTCCATATATGGCATTAGTGGAAATATGCTTTTAGAGACTTTTTGGTTGATAAATACGTTTTGCTGTGTGAAAATCACACACACCTGGTGTGTGTGTGTGTTTAGGTTAGTAAATCACCCCCTAAATGTTTACTTTTTAACTTTTGACAGTCCACAGTAACATTAATTTTTTTTTCTTCAAATTCTTTTAAACAGTGTGGGGTCCCCCCCAAATTCATACCGGCTCACTATATCAGGCCACATGCCCTCAACATGGGGAGGATGTTTGCCAGGGGTTTGATGAGGACAAGGGCCTCTTCCCCACAAGCCTGGCCCTGTTGATGTGGGGGTCTGTTGGCAGGGGGGAATATCTGAATCTGGGTGCCCCCTTTCATAAAGCCCAGATCCCGATTCCTCTCGTGAATGAGTAAGAGGCAGTTGTTACCCCTACCAACATTACCTTTGCAGAGACTAGGAGCCCGCTGGCTGCAGGATACCGATCCGGTGCTATCCAGCGGCCGGCAAGTCCCACCATCTATGCACAGGGACTGTGCTGGGCCCACCCTGGCCGAGGCACCGGCTGCAGTTCTGCCACTGTATAACCCCCCCCAGGTAAGTCAAAAATCCTATGAGCTTTGTGCATAGACACCAGCTATGATTCAATGTTTCATAGAGCGGTGCTTGAAAAATAGGTTTCAATGAATAAGATCTGCCTTTTTTTGCCCACAGCAGCATAGTTTATGGGGTGTTTTGATATGCCAATTAGCACGAAGCATTTTTATTAGCGACTTGGTCACATTAAGTTTGTTTTTAGCTTGAATGAATTATCAAGCATAGCGATGACATGCACATTTTATAGAGCACCTTATAGGAACAGAAGGCACAAAAGCAGCATTATCTAAATGATCAGCACACAAAGCAAATTAGGAACAAACTGTATGCATTGTACGATCACCTGGGTAGGGCCTTAATGAGAACATAGGCATCCATGTGCTTATTCAGGTCTGTGATCCAAGTATGCTGTAACAATTTATCCCTGCTCTTGTTTGCTTTAATAAATCAGAATCATTGTGACTAACAAGGGTATGCTGCAGTGTCAGGGAACATGCTGTCTTTTGGGCTCTCCA